AAAAAAACAGCTACCAGGAATGCTACCAAGTGACGCGTTTTCCTTCATCAGCATTGCGTTGCTTGCTGGTCGGTAGGGGATTCAAGCATGGACACCCTTACTAGTCTCGATGCAATCCTCCAACAAGGAATTCTCATATTCCACTCACCCTTTAAAGGGACCTAGGGTTTCCATTTTCTTTTCCATTATCCCTATATAACCCTATAAAACCCCTATATTACCCCACTATAGTTCCTTCATCCATCCTCACCACCAGTCAGATTGATTTTGGCAGTTGAGGGCTTACAGGGATCACAAGGTTGAGCATGATGAGATCAGCAGGCTTGCCAACCAGCAGGGGAGTGAGGGCTACATCAAGTAGGACACACAGCAGCAACAGGAGTAGCTGTACTCCGCAAACCTAGAGCCCCAGCCGCATCACCCTGGAGTCGATTGAATGTGGCGTGGGGAAGTCGGTGCTATGTCCTCTCTATCCTGTGCAGTCTCATTTTTCTGTGCATGGGTTGCTGCGCAGGAATTGAAATGTCGTGAAGCATATGTCTCCCTCATAGTACCCATAACGGTAGTTTAGAATAGTTTATGTTCCCTCACCGCAACGTGGCTGCTTCTCCCAGGATTATGCAGGGTTTGGGACTCAGGGCTTGGGAAGGTTTGGCGCTCACTTGGTTCTGTTTTGGTTGGGTAACCTGCCAACAAAAATCTTGAGAGTACAGCCATAGACAGAGGGTCCAGGTATAAACCCTAGGGTTGGGGACGAGATTTGGCAAGGGCATAACAGTTTTTGAGCCCTTTTTGCTTCAGGTCTTGACTGCCTGATTTCGATGAGTTCACGCGGCAGCTACCCGATGTTTTGGTTCAAAGATGCGAAAGCTCGCAGTTCGAAGCACTTGTCACAAGGCAGCGAAAAGTAAAGATTGGGAAAAGCACTAGATCCTAACACTGGCCACTACCCCTCGCCCATGGACTCCAATTGCAAAATCTTCAAGACTCTAAAGTTTTAGGGTTTAGGGCACAGATCGCTAAATCGCACAGTGTCGCTTCAAAGACCAAACCTTCAACCGTCAACCCCTCTCATTGCGCACGACGCCATCTAGCCTGCTGCCTGTAGCCAGCATGCTTGGGGTGTCCCAGCTGCATCTTCCACTCATGTTTTGGATTGGGACTTCTCACGAGGTGCAGGAAACAAATCCCTTGACTAAGTCAAGGCTCAAAATTTGGGTGGCCATGCCTCTTCAGGTGGGGAACGACTGTCAGGACGCAACCATACATCCGTGACAGATCCTGTAATAGGTCACTGCTGTTGTCATCGTCTGTGGCAAACTTGCTAGGCAGGCGCCAGACTTTCTGCTGGTTGCATCCTTCAGAGAAACTTCTGCAACGAAAGTGAAAAGCTTGTTCCCTGAGTATTCGCTATGCAAACGGCCAACTTCGAAACGGGGAAGAAGCATTCACAAAATAGTTATAACCCCACTATATACCTTACTATAGTGTAGCCCAATATTACCCCAAAATATTACGCCATAACCCTGCGACCAGGTCGCAACCAGAGCCCGTAACCCACATAGCAAGGTGCACAACTCACGCGATGATAAGGTCTTAATCCAAACCACTGAACCTTGAACTTAGTTGCGCTGAGTCCCAAACTATCGGCGTTGAACTTGAAGAGCGTTGCGTTTAGGGTTTAGAGACACAAAGAGCCCCAAGCTCAACTTTAAGCTCAAAACCCCGAATCTGGCACTGCTACAGTGGCCCCAAGCCCTATGGTCCAAGTCCCTAGGCCCAACCTTTATGCCCTCATAGAATGCGCGATTCTGCTCCAAACTCATATTCTATTTATCCAGGCCGCAACTCCTCGCATGACAGACACCGGAACCCTAAACCCTAATCCCGAAGCCCTAAAACCTAAGCTAATACTGCAGAACCCCACCGTGCCATATTAACCCTGTGCAGTATATTAAGCACTCCAAGCCCCCATGCCCTCACTGAAGCACCCCAAGCCCAAATCCCTAAGGCCTAACCCCAAACCCTAAACCCTAAACAAAGCCCTAAGAAAGGCGAGACACAGAAGGACATCAACAAGTCTTGACACACTGCCTCAAGTGGTTTCTTAGAACGTCCCGATAAGCCTGGTATATCCCCAGGCTGCCTATATATTCCTGTGACTTGGCGCAACCCTGAACTGCAAACCCTACATCCTAAACCCCAACATCCGAGAAGCTGCGAAGCTCCCTGGGCAGCATCGCTGCGCGGACGCTGCAGGCAGGGGGCTCACCCTCCCCCCACACCACGATGGAACCGCCAGTTGCAAGGATTATGTGGGGGAAGTGAAGTATGTAGGGATTATGTTCCCCCAAGCTACCAATGACCAATGAGCCCCGAAAGAAGAGGCCCTGGAAAGACTCGTGTGCGGATTAAACAGGGCTGCATGGGAATGCGGAGAAGAGGGCCGCCTTGGGACGTGGTAGCTACATAGGGTGTGCCCTTCTTGATGTGCGGGGGTCTGAAGTATGAGAGCGCGTGCGACTTTGTGGAAGCATTGGCTGAATAGATGCACGATGTTGTGGCGTCTTCAATCCTATCAGGGTTGGGAAGTCAGCAAGTACTCTTCATGATTAGTTGAGAGTCAGCACATACGGCATACGGGTTTGGCGATAGGATCGTTCTTGTTGTTGCTGCTTGCAGCTTGTTCTTTTTCCCTGCTCATCAGACAGTTTAGGTTTTGGGGTTCATCTACTCCTTACCTTACACGCAAGCCCTACATCGTACAGCATTACCTTCAAGATTGCCTAGACGTGAGATTTTTTCAGAATGGGCGTACTCTTTGGGTCCTTAGCAAATAGACAGTTGCTAAGGGTGGCCATTTTCGGAACCCTAAATCCAAACCCTACTCCCATGTTACACCGAAACTTGGAACTCTACCCCCAAACTTAAGCCCTGGCAGCCTGACACCCGCATGCAGGCTCAAATAAGCTGGGCGCCACCGCTTGCCAGGCTTTTCCCTGGGTTGCTGCTAAGTTGTCCCCTATACTTGAGAATCACATGGAAAAGAACATGGAAACTGGGGGAAGACAGGGATTTAAAGAACTTAATTTCAGTTACTACATTGGGGAAACCCTGTAATTTACTATAAAAATACCCATGATGATAACAAACCCAGTTTCTGGGAGTCTTGAAATTGTTTTGGGGAGGCTAGGGTTGAGAGATTCGCCCCTGCCGAAGTGAACCGGAAACCCGTATAGAGCCTTTGCTAGCACCCTTTTGGGGATTTCTATGGTTTGGGGGATGGTAGGACTTAGGTCTTACAGTTCTAGAGCTTTGGTGTTTCGATGCATTTTCTGGGGACAGCTGCTAATTATATAGTCCGGAGCAGTCAGATAGTCAGGGTCGCGTGCTGCGCTGCTACGCTTGGATTCTGAGAGCAAGCCGTTGAAGTCCTGGTTTACAGAGTGTCTAGATCCGACACTTACCGGCAGCAATGCTGATTCAGATCTTGATTTGAGGGAGCTCGTAACACGATGAAATGCGGAAACACCTGCACCAGACAATTTGCGAATTCCCGACCTGCAGTGAAGTAAGGCTGCCACTTCTCACACTTGTTACGAGGGCAATAAAGGGTCGCAAACTCCAAGCCCAGGGTCCTTCCTATGGTCACAAGCCTCATGAATCGAAAGCTCTGTATAGTAAGCGCAAGGATTTGCGGTTCCAATTTGTTGGGTTTCAGGCTCATGGGTCATTGCTTTTCTATTGCTAGGCCCTTTGTGGTCTGACGCTGTGCCCTTGCCGCTCAAAGTTGCATAGCCACAAACCTTACTGCTGTTCCCTGTCACAATCGCTGTTTGATGACTTGCTTGGTAAGGCTGTAGGGATGTCTGTGAGAAATATCCTGGGTCCCCTGACTTTTTGCCGCTATTTACAAGGAGAAGCTTGGTACTCTAAGGTACCTGATTGGCCCGTAATAAAGACCCGCCTTGTCCCGTTGTAGTCTCTATGTGTGCCAAGAGTCTTCAAGGGCTCCCGATTAAGGGATGTCTAATCCCAGACCCCCGAAGGGATCCAAAAATTAGATCCCCCAGAACCATATGGGAAGTTATATAAGGATTATACAGGGGTTACAATGGGTCTATATAGGGGATCTAAGTTTTAGATCCTCCCAGGGGTCTGGGATATGGTGAAGTCGGCAACTTAGCTCCAGACTGAGGCTCCAGATGTTGATGCATTCTGGTGGTATGTGGGTTTAGGAGTTAGGTAGAGTTTTCGGGCGCGACAATTCGTGGTTAGTTACTAGTTGGTGTACAGGGCTTATGTAGGAACCCCCAAACATCATTACGTGGGGGGATTGTCTGGATTACAGTGTTCTGTCCCTTTCCCTGAGCCCTACACCCTCCCTACCCTGACCAGCAGTTTGCATTTGCTTTCCATCTCTTCCCTCCCTACTAGCACCCAGCAAGCCTCAGGATCCGCAAGTTATTCACTGATGCATAAGTGGCTATCACAGGCACTAGCAGAGCTAATTTGTAGGATTTAGTGGTCAGTATTTGGTTTCAGGCTTTCGGGTTTAGGGTTTAGGGTTCGATTCGAGGGTTCGGCTTTTAGGGTCTCGGGCCTGCCATCCGAATCCTCAACGGAACCCATCCCAAAAAAGAATCATCATTTTCCCCGTCCGCCGGGAAGCATTTCCTGGCACTTTATGTGAGAGTTTCTCACTAACCCACGAAGCCCTGAACCTCAGTGCTGCATGTCCTGCAGATTACTGGGCTTCTGTGAAGGAACTTTGATTGTTACAATAGTAAGGAGGCCCGATGATGTACTACATACGGAAACCACGGTGACTCACTATGAGCTCCTTAACTTAACCGCAGCCCAGGTTATTGTGCAAGGCTCCTGTAGATTTCCTGGGGGCTGAGGGATTTTCTGATTTTGCTCGGCCTGCACATCCCTACCCCTGACCTTTAAGCCCAAGCCCCGAGGCTAAACCCTGATCACCCAGGCCTCCTTAAGCAATGCCCAGCCATAACACGGTGTCCAGCAACCGTCAGCTATTCACGGCCGCCCTAAGTGGGTCAATGGGAGGTGCCGTCTTGCGAGTAGGATCGAATCCTGAGCCTCTTGATGAAGAGAGTGCTCTACAGTCGGGGCTTCAGACCCTACAAGCCGACAAGACAAAGATTGTGGCCGACGAGGTGTTCTAGGAGATGAAGGGAAGTGCAGATGTCCCGGCAATATTGCTTTCATGTGGGCGCACGAATGACGCTGATGGTGTGCCTTGCTGGCGTTTTACTGGGAAGTGGGGAAGTGAATTTATCACAATCATTAGTCCACGTAGGAATATAGATGGTGATCGCACAGGGATAGTTATAGGAAAGCACCCGCTCGCTCACCAGTCATTACGTGCTTGCATGCTGGGGGCTCTCCACGCAGGATGGCGGCTCTGTCTCTCCATGTGCGTGGAAGCTACCAAAGTCTAGAGGATGATGATCATGACGTGGATGATGCCAGTGACCATGATGAGGAGGACGACAATAATGGTTTTACCAGTGACTGTGACGACCTCATCCTTGCATGAGGTCTTTGAACACTGGACTGAAATGGGAGTTGGACAGTCCCTTTACAATCCTTAATTGGATAATGCCTTTGCAATCACCCTTTTGAGAAACAATCCCGTGCGCAACCCCTTGCAGGCTTGCAGATCCTGTCCCTGCTGCTTTCGCATCGCCCCTTGGCGCCATCCGCGAGAAGCAGACGAAACGTCAGCGACAGCCCCAGACAAGTCAAGTTAGGGTTTTAAGTTCCGCATTTGAACTCTAAGGTGTACGCTTTAGGGCGTTACTTTTGGGGTTCAGGGTTGCTTAAGGGTCCAGGATTTTCAGTTCCACGCTGACTTCAAATTTTGCACGACGTCTTGCGCGTTGAAGGTTCTGCCTCGCTGCGGACCCTTTTCCTTCGTAACCAAACTCAGTCTTACTGGTGACTAGTAGGGAGAACGTAGGGAATTATATAGGAATTGTATTCCCTTATTCACTACTAACCACCAGTAAGCAGGCTTTTGGGTTTACAGGGTTTAGGGTTGCAGAGCACGCCAAGCCGAATGAGGATGTTCATTGTAGGGCTTTATGCGCCATTGAATCCTGACTCCCTCTTTGTGCAACCTAAGCGGCCACACTGTAAGCCCTCATCCCACGGCAGAATTTGGCATATCCTTACCTTACCGCCGTGGGTTTCTCCATGGTTCTCTGTAATTACCTTCTGAACAGCCATTCTTCTGCAGCCAGGACATGTGAGTACTCATGTCGTCAGGCCTTGTGAATTGAGGCAGTTTACGTTTCGCTATTACCCGTGCAAAACTTGATCACTCCACTGGAGTGTTTGGTTTTGCGATGCCTGCCGCTGATCAAACCCTGCTGGATTCGGTGTGTACGTTCTATTGTTGAGGAAGTGAAACTTAGGATTGAGTTTTGACCCCCGGTTCGAGGTGTGTCGTTTATTGGGAGTTTTTAAATTCTGGCTGAGTGAAGGCTCTAGCGCGCACTTCAACAACATTTTCAAGGTTAACAAGTTCCATGGGGCCTCGGGCCCTCAACCCAACGCTATATTCAGCAAGCATAGGCTAACCCC